GCTTTCCGATCTCATTTCATTAGGGCTCAAGTCTGCCTAATCCCAAAAGAATCTCTTGCAAATGTCACTCAAAAAGACGATGAAAGTGTCAAGGATTATATTGCCCGATTCAATGACCGAGTTCAGAATATGGAACCTTGTCATCCTGAAACACTGCTTGTCATGGCTATCGCTGGGCTAAAACCGAACTCAATTTTCCGCTGGACACTGTGTCAGAATAAACCGAATATTTTTCAAGAATTTCTCGCTCGAGCTCAGCAACATATTATAGCTGAGGAAGCCATGTCGGTCCCCGACTTTAACTTTAATCCGAAGTCATCCAAGGCAGGAACCGAAAAGAAGAAAAAGAACAAATATTTTGAACGACAAAACAAGACTCAGTTCAGGGGGCCTCCCCGGGGAGATCCCAACGATCCTGAAGTTCGAGCGGCCCGAAAACAATATGCTACCGATGTGAAGTCTGGTTATCAAACCGTATATTCTGCGGGAGCAGCCACCATCTATGAAGAAATCAAAGGGAAGGGCATTTTACCAGATCCCAAACCACTTCGAATGCCCGAAGAAAAACTGGACAAGTCCCGGTATTGTGATTATCATAAATCGCCAGGGCACAACACGGAAGAGTGTTTGAGTTTGTTAGCTGCATTGTTGTGTTTGATTGGCCATCCACAACTCAGAAAGTTTTACCGTAATACCGATCCCCAGAGGCGAGGTCCGGGGCGTCAGATCGAACCCTTTGATGAAGACGATGAAGAGGACCGAGGTGCCATGCCAAAACGCATCCGACAAGGAGACAAGGAAGTATTTATGTTCACTTCGGAAACGCCCGATTCAAACTTTACGGGAATTATCCGAGGATGTAAACGAGGTCGATCTCCTGAACCGATGCAAATTACCGTCCATCGTGTCAATACCAATAATTCCCGGAGTCCACTGTCCCGTCGACAGATCAAAGCCTATGCCTGACAAGCGCACAATTCCAACAAAAAAGTGTACACTACAGATTTGAGAGACATCCTCAACAATCGAAATTGTCCCATAACTTTTAATATGGAGGATGCTAATCACTTCGCACATCCTCATTCCGATGCACTTGTTATCACCGTCCCGATATGCGGAATCTCTGTACACCGTGTTATGGTGGATACTGGGGCCTATTCAAGTATTTTGATGTTAAAAGCTTTTGACAAAATGGGACTTGATCCCGCCGACATTCGACCTTGCAATGACCAGATACAAGGGTTCAATGGCAGTATTTCGAAGCCTATCGGCGAGATTACTTTACCTATCAGATTCGGCACTTCGGAGAATGTCACTAAGCTCGTCATGGAAACTTTTAAGATTCTGGACATCAATAATGAGTACAATGCCATCATCGGCAGAACAACATTGTATAAACTTCGAGC